GGCCCCGGGCCCCAGGCCGCCTCCCCCCCGGCCCCGCAGGGCCCGCGCACCCCCACTCCCGGCTCAGCAGGCTGATCTGGTCGGCCACCACGCTCTCCTGCAGCTGGTACTCGGGCCCCCCGGCCGCGTCGCTGGCGCTGCCCCTCAGGGCCGCGATCTCCAGGACGTGCTGGACGAAGACGAGCGTGAAGCGCAGGCTATGCAGGATCTCCGTGTGCTCTTGCTGCAGAGAAACGGGGCGGCTGAGGCGGCGGCCGTGGCCCCCCGCCCTCCCCGCCCCAGGACCTGCCGCCCACGGCCGGGGGCCCTCACCTCCATCAGTGTCTCCTCAGGGAGGTCAGGGGCCTCGAAGGTCACAGCCCCCTCTAGGTTGGCGGTGACGGGGTCGGCGAAGCTGCAGCAGTGTCCGGGGGCCGGGACCTCCGGGGCGGCCTCACTACAGGCCCCAGGCGCCAGGTGACGGGCAGAGGGGGAGTTGGCCGAGCCAAGAGAGCTCGAGGAGCCCACTGCAGGCAGAGGCCGGGGGCAGCCGATTCAGGACGCAAACCCCTTCCCGCCAGGTCTGGATGCCTCGGTCTACACTCCCCCCCTGCCACCCACCGCGGACGCCCTGCCCCCCCCGCCGGGGGCCCTCCGGTCCGGAGGCGGGAGCCGTGGGAGCGTCCGAGCCCCGAGCCTGGGACCCCGACCCGACGAGGCCAGCCTGCCCGGGGCGGCTGCAGACGCGGTTGCTGTGGCACTATCCACACCCCACGTGTAAGAACGAGGCCACCTCACACCCCTGACCTGTCCGGGCCCATCTGCAGCGCCGTTTACACCCTGCGGCCTGGAGGAGCACCGTGCAGTCCTCACCTGACAACATCCTGGCACGGGGACCCTGGGGCGGCGTGGTCCCGCTGGGGGGTGAGCCCACGGTGAACACCACGGGAGACGGGCTGCCGGCCCCCCCGGAACGGGCTCCCGGGTGCAGGTTCCCTCCGAGGCCAGCAGAGGGCGCTGCAAGAGCGGGACGAGGGCTCAGAGCCCGGTGGTCGGTGCCCGCCCCCCGCCCCGCCCCGCCGGGAGCCCCCCGGCCCACCAATCTCCATAGGCTTCTCCTGCAGGCTGTCCGTGCTCCCCGAGTCAGGGGCCTGGGTCCCAAACGCAGCCTTGAGGAGCAGATCAGTGAGGCGGCCGGTACTGAGGGACCTGCAGGGTGAGGAGCCGTGAGGAGCCGGCCCGGGGCCCCCGCCCGCATCGCCCAGCCGCCTGCCCTAACTCACCAAAGGCCAGGCACACAGGGCCTCACAGGCTGGCCGTCTCCTGCCCCCACTGGCCGCAGGCAGTGTTCCCCGTCATCACACAGGCCAAGTGGGCCCAGAAAGGGTCACACAGGGAGGAGGCGCAGACGGGGCCCCTACCCACACGCAGGTCTACTCCCCGCTTCTCCTCCCAGACAGCGGGCCAGCAAGCGTGTCGGGAGAGCCGCTTCCCACGCACCTGCCGAAGGGGCTCTTGTCGTCAGTGGGCCGCAGGCCGGGGCCCAGCTGCTGCCCCTGGAGGGGTCCTGCCTCGGAGAGGTCCGGCAGCGTCCGGTTCCGGGGGGGTGTCATGACCACGCCCTGCCGGGCCAGGAGGGCCAGCAAGTTCTGGGAGCTGGGGGTCTTGGGGAAGTCGAAGGCAGGCGTGGCCTAGGAGGGGCAGGCGGGGTGCTCAGACAGGCCACCACGAGGGCGCTCGCAGCCCAATGCCGGCACTTCTGCGGCCCCACGCTTCCATCACCCGGTCTCCGCAGCGAAGGCACGGGGCCTTGTTGGCTGCAGGAAAGCAATACGGGCCCCGCACACGCCCAACCCCCAGGCACACGGGCGCCCTCGGAAACGCCGCCTGTGTCGCTAACGGGCCCGGCCCCGCTTCACCAGCAAGGACGCCACAGCAAGGACTGAGCTGAGTGTCTTGCCCGGAGCGGTGCTGGAGCCCGTGGGGCACCTTCTGCGTTTCTGGGGCCCGAAGCGTGTCGCACGGGAATCCTGCCAGGAGGGTGGCCGACAGCCTGGGCAGGTGGATGGGAAGGGGTCCTCGGCACAGAGCCACACTCTGCGGGCTTTTCCCAGGACTGGTCACTTCCTCCCTGCCCCCCCCAGCTCTGTGGCCCCGTTACCTTGGTGGGGGAGCCCAGGATGGGGGGCAGGGGGTTGCGCTGCAGGAAGTCAGGCAGCTTGGGCGAGCCTCGCAGCGGCCGGCAGGACTGCAGCCCGTGGGCTGGCTGCGGGGGGCTGGACTGCGGGTGGCCAAACGCCGCCCCCAGGGGGTCCGTGGGGGGCTTGGGCAACTTAGGGCGGACGACGTGCAGGTCGGACAGGTTGGGAGCACTGTGCAGGCGATAGCCCAGCCCAGCGGCGTGCGGGGAGTGCTCGGGCGCAGAGGAGCCTGGAGCAGGACAGGACAAGGCCTGGTCACTACCTCGTGGGGCCTGCCCAGCCCAGCCGCCACCAGCAGCAAGAGGAGCGTGTGTGTGAGGCCCTCGAGTCTGGGCTCCTCCCCCCACCCCGGCTGCTCGGCGGTGCGCCTGAGCAAACGGGCGCAGGTCATACCGCACGGCGGGTGCGGACACTGAGGCCCAAGTGCCGCTCCACAGCCCAAGGCCTGAGCTTGTCAACAGTGCCCCAGGACCCGACCCTCCCTTCCCCATACGAGTGACCGTCGTGAGCAGGAAGCTGGCCCCTGCCCCTGGCCCACGCCCACACCTACCTGCACGAGGGGATCTGCCACCCCGCATCTCGGCTCCTTGGGGGGAGGGTGCCCCGCTCCAGCCCTGCCGTTCAGGGAGGATTCCAACTTGAGGAGAGAGGAGTCACCAGGGTCACGCCCCGACAGAGCCAAGTCCCCTCCCCCGCCAGCCCAGCCCGGGGAGATGCCCAGTCCCTCGTTAGAAGCTCCCACCAGGGGCCTTCAGGTTCACCTTGTGGAGACGGTGTGTAGGGCCGGCCCCCACCCAGGGAGAGCTTCCTGGCCAGGGCAGCTCCGTGCTCGGCGTGGGATGGGGGTGACGGACTGGCCCGGGCAAAGCCCAGGGGGCTGGTGCTGCCCGACCTGCGGATGGCGGAGGACCTGGGGACAGGAGCAGGCACGAGGAGATGAGGGTCACGGCCACGCCAGACGGCTCGTCCCTATCTGTTCAAATAACGGGTCTCACTCAGGAGCCTCCAGGAAGATTGGACCACTCACCCTCCTGCCTAGAGTGATAACTAAGAAGTGAAGACCCCAGTGTTCCCCCTGGGCATCCTCTGGCCTGAGGTCACAGTCCCTGCCGGGACAACCACTAGCCCACAGGATCTTCTGTAAATTACGAAAAGAAAAGGGAGGCTTCTCCTCCTGCTGTGTTTGTTGAAATTCATCAAAAATCAACACTGGGTTTTGTAAATTCATGATACTTTACTAACATCTACCACAGAGCTGTCCTAATAAACCTAAGACCTCCATACATCCGTGAGCAGGGGCGGCGAGACTTACACAGTGCACAGCCTGCACAACTGTGCATGTGGGACAACCCTGTACCACTCCAAGGAGGCTGCAGGGGCTTCTCACTACAGCTCTCCAGGGCATGCCCTTTGGCCCCAGGGGACCCCTACATTCACGGGGGGAACCAGAGGTGAGGGGTGACCATGCTGACCGTGTGGTCTGGCACTGGGTGGGCGACTGCAGGTTCTGCTCAATGCGCTGGTAGTTGCGCACCTGCGTGGGGACCGGGATGGGGACGGACACGCCGCACCTGCTGCTGGAGGGGCCGGCCCGGCTGCGGTGGGAGGAGAGGCGGGGGGGTCAATGGAAACAGAGCACTGAGCTGAGGCCCAGCCCCAGACACAGTGCAGCACACACCCCCCGAGGCCGCCTGCTTCCTCAGCTCTGCACAGGCCACCGCCACCATGCAGGCAGCCGGGACTGTCCACGCCCGCCCCACGCACCCCGGGCCACAGGGACGTGTGGTAGAAGGTCAGGCTGGGGCTGCTCCCCCGCTCGGCTCCGGGGACCCGAGCCC